CCAGGTGAGGTGAACACACTCCCTGTCCTGATGGAATTGCTGTTTGCATTTTAATTTCACAATTATTTCTCCCTTCCCTGGGATTTCTGTCACTGAGAGCTCCAGAGCTCACAGCCCTGCCTGGGCTCTGGTGGAGTTTGCAGCTTTCTGTTGAATTAAATTTAAGATCCATTAGGATCTGCCTAGTTAGGATCAGTAAAATCTGACAGGATATCCAATCCCCTTCTCGTGCCAATCTAACATTGCTGTTCCCAACAATTCTGTGCATTCCTCACACCAAAATTGAGCCTCCTTTGTCCATCCAGGCTCTGTTTGCTGCCCTCTGCATTGCATCATTTCCTTATTTACCAATCCCTTCTTGCCATATTCCTTTAAACACTTTTGGGATCAGCTGACCAAAAACAATTCCCTGTTTTCCTTGCAGGCCTGGGTTGTTACACCAGCTCAATGTGCCTTTTTCATAAGTCATAAACAGGGACTGAAAATGGGAAAAACCCTCCCAGAACTGCCCCTTCCATCTTCCCTCACCTTGGAAAACCTCGAGTTGTGCTTTTCACACACACCCAGAGGCTTTGAGGAGATGCAGAATGTTTTTGAGCGCAGCCAAGTGCACCAGAAGTGAAAGCTGCTGGGAGCTGTGAGGAGATTTTTAAACTCAGCTTTTCCTTCAGTGCAATCATAGCAAGAAATTGTGGCTTCAGCAGAGCAGCCCCTGACTTTGGGCCGCGGTTTTTGAGCGGCTCCCCAGCAGCCAGGGGCTGATTTCTGCACTGCAGCTCCATTAGGTGGATTTATTGTTGGGTTTTAGCGTGATTGTGTCCCTTTCGCTGCTGAAAGGAGGAAAGAATAAAGTCAGAGGCTGCCTGCAGCATTTGGAGTGCAGAGCAAGCGAGTGCCAGCATGAAAGGAGGGCTCTGAGCACCACTCAGGCAGGCCCAGAGAGGTTTTTCTTTGCAAGTGGTCAATTCTGGCAGGGTTTTCAGGCAGAAATGAATGCACACAGAGAGCAGAATACAAAGGGCTCTGGAGAGCTCAGAATGACCAGCACCTGTCTGCAGAATCTAACAGATTTCTCTATTTTCATTTATTTTTATTTATATATTTTATATATATTTTATATTTATTTTATTTATATTAAAAGATATATATTATATCAATTTATAGTATAATATCTTTTAAATAAAATTAAATAGATGTTATTTTATTTATTTATTTATTTATTTATTTATTGTTCTTCCCAATGAAATAAATTTATTTATTGTTCTTCCCAATGTTGTGCCACCCACACTAATATAGCACCAGGAGGTTTTTTGGATTTGGTTTGTGCAGAACAGATTTCCGTATTTTTATTTATTTTTATTTATATATTGATATATTATTTATACTTATTTTTATTTACATAAAATACGTATTATATACATTTATAATATATGTTTTATAAAATTAAATATATGATATTTTATTTATTTATTTTTTGTTCTTCCCAGCGTCGTGCCACCCACACCAATGTGCACCAGGAGGTTTTTTTGATTTGGTTTGTGCCTATCCAATGCTCTTGGGTGACTGAATAAAATGAGTGTTCCTTGCTCCAGGGTCAGCGTGCAGTGCTCCTGTCTCACAGGGAGAATTAAAAGCTTGATTAAGATGTGATTTCTGTCACAGACTGTGCCTGAGGATTGCTCAGCTCTGAGAGAGGGAGCAAAAGAAAAATATTTTCTTTTTCCATGAAAACATTGGAAACTCAGGGGTGTTTTGGCCACTGCTGCCAGCACCACATCACATAACAGGGGTGGCTCTGTCAGGGTTGGGTTAATGGGGGACTTTTCACAGAATTCACAGAATCACAGAATTCTCAGAATCCCCAGGCTGGAAGAGACCTTAAAGATCATTGATCCAACCCAGCCNACCTAAACTTGATATTCTGAACTTAAGCCTGGTCTGAACACCCGAGCCTGATCTGCTGAACACCTGAGCCTGACATCCTGAACATCCAAGCCTGATATTCTGAAAACCTGAGCCTGAAATCCTGAAGATCTAAGCCTGAACATCTAAGGCTGATATTCTGAACCAAAGCTGATATTCTGAACATCTGAGCCTGGTATTCTGAACCTAAGCCTGATATTCTCAACATCTGAGCCTGATATTCTGAATTTAAGCCTGACATCCTGAACATCTAAGCCTGATATTCTGAATACCTAAGCCTGAAATTCTGAGCCCAAACCTGACATCCTGACCACCCAGCTGAGCTCCAAGCTGGAGGGGGATACCAAAGCCCACTGAGCAGTCCAAGCCCATCACAGCCACCACAGCCACCCTTTGGGACCTCTTGGGATTGGAATTTTGGGAAAAACAACAGCAAAATTCAGCAGGACTCGGGATTCTAACCCAAAATAAAAATCACTGCCAAACTTCCAGCAGATCTGCTTTGGGAGAGACTGGGAAAAGCATCTGAAGGAAGCAAATTGTGCTGAGCAGGGAGCGGGGAGACCTTTCCTTGCTGCCCCACGATGATCTCTGCCTGAGGGCTCCTGGAGGAGACAGAAGAACCCTTTGCAAGCTCCTTCCCACCTCTGCCAGACCAAAAGCAAGGAAATCTTTTTGGATAAGAGCGTGGCTTGGTGGATCTCCTTGAAGGATGCCCGGCCAGGAGCCTGAGGACTTTGGAGCAGAAATCCCGTCGGAAAAATCCCGAATGATCCCTGGGCTCCCCCCGTACGACATGGACGAGCAGCTCCTGCCCAGGCAGCCCCGCAGCCCCTGCTGCTGCCTGGCCTGGACCCTGCTGATAGGAACCATGAACTGCCTGGTTTTCCTCCTGAATTTGCTCCTGATGTTGGTGATCTTCACCGTCGTGCTCCTTCCTACCATCGTGGTGGTTTACTTTGGCTTCCAGTGCCACTCCCAGGTAAGAGCCACCCCTCAAGGGCAGGGCCACACCTGAGGGTCCCTCTGAGCCCCAGCTGAGCAGTGCCTGGAAAGGACAGGAAAAACTCCCCAGGGTTTGGCTTTGGGCACAGATTTTTCCCTGTGTGAATAGCCTTGGCTGACAAGGACAGGTGTTGTGGGAAATTGGGCAGTGGAGTTGTGTCCCCACAGAAATTGGGCCCTGGAGTTGTGTCCCCACGGAAATTGGGCCCTGGAGTTGTGTCCCCACAGAAATTGGGCCCTGGAGTTGTGTCCCCATGGAAATCGGGCAGTGGAGTTGTGTCCCCACGGAAATTGGGCCCTGGAGTTGTGTCCCCACGGAAATTGGGCAGTGGAGTTGTGTCCCCACAGAAATTGGGCCCTGGAGTTGTGTCGTCACGGAAATTGGGCCCTGGAGTTGTGTCCCCACAGAAATTGGGCAGTGGAGTTGTGTCCCCACAGAAACTGGGCCCTGGAGTTGTGTCCCCACGGAAATTGGGCGGTGGAGTTGTGTCCCCACAGAAATTGGGCAGTGGAATTGTGTCCCCACAGAAACTGGGCCCTGGAGTTTGTGTCCCCATGGAAATTGGGCAATGGAGTTGTGTCCCCACAGAAAATGGGCAGTGGAGTTGTGTCCCCACAGAAATTGGGCAGTGGAGTTGTGTCCCCACAGAAATTGGGCAATGGAGTTGTGTCCCCACAGAAATCGGGCAGTGGAGTTGTGTCCCCACAGAAATTGGGCCCTGGAGTTGTGTCCCCACAGAAATTGGGCAATGGAGTTGTGTCCCCACAGAAATTGGGCCCTGGAGTTGTGTCCCCATGGAAATCGGGCAGTGGAGTTGTGTCNCCCCTGGAAAAAGGAGCTGGGCTGCTTGGAGCCAGCTCAGCGAGGAGTTTGGGATTTTGTCCCCCCAGCAGTGCTCCAGCCATCAGTGTGAGCAGGTTTGGTGTTGTTTTCAGTGGCTGGAAGGATTCCATAGTGGCTAACAAAGCTTAGAGCATCCTGCAAGGGTTAGGGTTGGAGAATGGGACACATAAATGGAAAATTTATGAACTGTGCAAACCACAAGATGGTGCTGCCAGAAAATGATTCCATGGGAGCAGCAGTCTCAGTGTCAGAGAGCTGATGGTTTTTTTTAAAATCATCACCACTTCCAGCATCTCAAAGCAATCATGCTCCTGTTATAAACTGCTCCATCATCAATCATCAAGATCTTCCCCACTTCTGGGAAAGTTCTTGTCAAGAATGTGGAAATTTCAGAGAAATCTTTCTCAATATCACTGAGGTTTTTCTGACACAAAGTTCACTTGGTTATTACGAGAACCAGTAGACAATAAATGTACAGCACACAATTTTCAGACCTCCCTGAAAAGGTTAAAACACATTTTCAGACCTTCCTGAAAAGGTTAAAACACATTTTCATGACAGCAAAAGAACTTTGGAAAGTTTCCCTGGATTTAGCAAAGCTTCTTAGAATGTTTGGCACTTTTATGAATGCTTAAATTGTATTTCACCACACCCTGTGCCATCACCAGCAGATGGTAAAAGCAGCTGTAGGATTTTTAGCCGCCCAGCCCTGAGTTAATCTTTCCACGGTTTAAGCCTAAAATTGATTTCTCTTCCTATAGTTTTGAGTTTGGGTTCTTTCTGTTTGTGTGACTCCTCCTTTTTAGCCACTTCAAATTCGAAAAATATTGTGTCTTTAAATCTAAGCAGAATTTAGACAGGCAGAGGAACCACTGAGGCTCCCAGAGCTCCCTACCACTTGTCACATTTATGGTTTCCTGCACAGCTCCAGATTTTGTTATTAACGCTCTCTCTGGCCTGTGCAGCCCTGAAAACAGGATGGATCCAGCAGTTATTTCCCCTGGGATGTCTGGACAGATCTGAGAAGAGATTTCACATTTTGCAGCTTGAGTGGAGGCTGCTGCCCTGCAAACCCCCCTGGGAGCCATCCAGCCCTGGAGTGCAGGGAGGGAACAGGATGGAAATGGACTTGTCACACTCTGCTCTCTGCTTCAGAGCTTGTTTCCCTCTGTGTTTTTAATATCTCTCTCTCTTATTGCTGCCACTCTATCTCGGAGGCTGCACAGGCACGGAGATGGGGCTGAAATTCTTAAATAATATTGATCTTATGAGGGAGATGAAATAATTGATAATGGCTGTGCCTCCTCTACGAGAGTATCAATATGTTCTGCAAACAATACCAGATGACTGCAGGGGACAGATGATTTCTGAGGAATACAGTGATTATTATCCATTTATCTTAGGGTTTTTTTTTTTTTCTTTATTTAATCTAGAGCGGAATTTTAGAAAATGAACCAGAGGCAGAATAATTGAAGTTGGAGAGGGACCATCTTGACCCGGGGATGGATGGCTGGAGCGTGGGGAGGCAGATGTGAAGGATTGGCCAGCACAGAGAGCACTGAGGCTGTTGTGTAAACACAGCAGAGCTGAGCTCAGAAGGGACCTCAGTGCTGGGAGTGAGTGGCTGTGGCTGCAGTGACAGCACCACACACTGCTGCCATCCCCAGGGCTGGGAAACAGCTCCTGCCTTTCCTCTGCATGCTCACCTCCCTGCGGTGACACCTGGGCACGAACATCTGCTTGGATACGCTGGAGAGCATGGAAAGGGGATTTGAAGACAAGGAGCTGCCTGGGGGTGCCTAAACCTGATATTCTGAGCACCTAAACCTGATATTCTGAGCACCTAAACCTGATATCCTGAACATCTGAGCCTGATATTCTGAACCTCAGCCTGATATTCTGAACCTCAGCCTGATATTCTCAACACCTGAGCCTGATATTCTGAATTTAAGCCTGACATCCTGAGCATCTAAGCCTGATATTCTGANTTCCTGCTTTCCTCCCTCCCTTCCGGGGCGGCACCGACCTGCGCGGCCCTCCCTGGGCCTGCCTTCGAGCTTGGCCGGGCTTCTTCTGAGCCGGCCCCCGGTTCTTCCTCTGATCCTGTCCCCCAGCCTGGCCGGGCTTCCCCTGATCCTGTCCCGAGCGTTCCCGGAGCTTCCTTTGGACCTTCCCTCGGTTCTTCCTCTGATCCTGCCCCCAGCCTTCCCGGTCCTTTTTCCAGTCCTTCCCCCGGTTCTTCCTCTGAGCCTTCCTCTGGTTCTCCCCCCGAACCTTCCCGGTTCTTCCTCTGATTCTGCTCCCGAGCCTTCCCCGTCCTTTTTCCAGTCCCTCCTCCGGTCCTTTCTCTGATCCTTCCTCCGTTTCTGCCCCCGAGCTTTCCTAGTCCTTCCCCCGATTCTTCCTCCGGTCCTCCCTGTGGTTTTTCCTCCAGTCCTTCCCCTGAGCTTTCCCGGATCTTCCTTTAGTCCTTCCTCCGGTCCTTCTTCCAGCCTTTTCCCGGGTTCTTCCCCCGGTCCATCCCGCGAGCCTTCCCGGTCCATTTCCCCGGTCCTTGCCCAGATCCTTCCCGGTTGTTCTTCCAGCGCTTCCTCCAGTTCTTCCCCCTTCTCCCGATCTTCCCTTTGCCCTTCCTCCAGTCGTGTCCCCCGCCCTTTTCCCAGCCCTTTTCCCGGTCATTCTCCGGCTTTTTCACCTCCCTCATCTCCTCTCTCATAGCACAGTGGCTTTTCCCCGTGCTGTGCATTCTCTGCCTCAGCCTGAGTTCAGCCATGGAATCACGGAATATCCTGAATTGGAAAGGACCCACAGGGATCATCCAGCCCAGCCCCCAGCCCTGCACAGACACCCCAAAATCCCACCCTGTGCCCCCCTGAGAGTGTTGTCCAAACCCTCCTGGAGGTCTCATTCCCTAGGTATTGGAGATTTTTTCAGAAATGGCCTAGAAGGCAGCTGTGAGGAGTAAAATTCTCACAGCCGGTTTCTGTCAACAGCAGAGGTTCTCAGGTTGTTTTTAATTACAAGTAAAAGTGACAAACATGAAGGCCTTGAGAACCTTGCACACCAGAGTTCTCAGGCAGCTTTCTCATAACAAGTAGATATTCTATCTTTGGCTGTTTTGGGAAAGCAAAAATAATTTAGAGAACCCAAATCTTGGTATTGGAAACATAAGGAGAGGTTGGTGTGTTATCTCTGACCTATTGTGAGCTCGGGTTTGCA